AAAGCAAGATGTTTATTAATTTTCAATGAGAAATTGCTGGGAGCGAAATGCTCACAGACGTTAACTTGGGAAGCATGAGATCAGAAAAAGATGGGGTACGTCAGCTGAGTGTTTGACAGAATCGGCGAACATTGGATGGGCTTGGCAAGAGACAGGAAGGCCAGTCTAAGGAATAGCCTTCTTCCCTCTCCTGACAACACTTGCTGGTTCATGGCCTGTGTCAGCGCCTTTTTCTTGTATCCATGCTTTTCTTCCTCCCCTTCTGAGTCGTACACTATGTCTTGAAATTTGTTAACTTCCAGGCAGATCACAGCTGGGCTTGCAGCTTGAGAACCTCCATGTCTCTGGGGTGATTATGTGTATCTCTTCTCTGGTCCACTATGTACAGAGTTTAAGTTTTAACTCTCAGAGGACAATTTTTATTCTTTTCTTTCTTTCTTTCCTTCTTTCTTTCTTCTCTTCCTTCTTTCTTTCTTCTCTTCCTTCTTCCTCTTTCTTTCTTTCTTTCTTTCTTTCTTTCTTTCTTTCTTTCTTTCTTTCTTCTTTCTTTTTCTTTCTTTGTTCCTTTCTTAAAATCTTTGCCAGAGGGCACATGTGCTCACCATAGACAGAGAAAGAGGAGAGAGAGGAGAGAGAGAGAGAGAGAGCAAGCATCTCCCATGGGGAATGGTCATGCCACAATCCCTTCTTCTCCATCTCTCCCTCCTTCTGGGATTTTGGATACAGCATGCACACATGACTAGCATGTTTCTCAAGCCACCTGGTCTGGGACTTGAATCATGTAGTTGACCATGTGGGATCCAGTTACCTTAACCACCGTACCATGGGCTGTTCCTGTTCTCCTCATTTCTAAGTTTTCAGCAGAAGACTCAGTGTAAACCCCATATGCTGATTTTAGCAGGCAGTTGCACAGTCATTTATGGTTAGAACCAGAAAATGAACATGATCCTTTTCATGGTAGAGCTCAAGACGTGATGAGGGAGAATTTGTCAACCTAGAGTTGGCTGTTATGACTCAGCATAAAGTCTGAAGAAATGAGCGTTAGTCAACAAGAAGTGGATGTGTGAAAGCATAAAAGCAGGATTGAATCATTCAAGATGTGAGGAGCCTAACTGTTCAGCCAGGGTGCACTTCATATGCAAATGGTTTTTCAGGTATGATTCTGGAACCTTGGGAAACTGTAAGATTTTTGAGACATCTGGGAGCATTGAGCTTGGGCAGATTAAACACAGTGTGCTATCTCTCCCTCCCTTTCTTCTCCGTCTTAGTCGGGTTGGGCTGCTATATGAGAACACTGAAGATTGAGAGGCTCAAATAATAAGATTATTTTTTTTCTTACAGTTTCAGAGTCCAGGAAGTCAAAGATCAAGTTGCTGGCTACTTTGTTTTCTGAAGAAGGCTCAGCTCCTGGCTGGTAGATGGCTACCTTCTCTCTGTGTCCTCACATGGCAGGGAGAGAGATTGAGTTATCAGTGTCTCTCGTTATAAGGACACCAACCTCATTGGATTAGGGTCCTATCCTTATGACCTTATTTATACCTTAGTTATCTCCTTATAGGCCTCATCTCAAATACAGTCACCCCGTGGATTAGGGTTTCAACAAGAGAATTTGGAACAGACATAATTCAGTCTATAGCAGTTTTCTTCCTCAAATGAAAGCTTAGTCAAACAGCAAGAGCTTCCTTGATTAGCAAGAGCAGTCCTCCTTGAATCAGATTGCTATCTAAAACAATCAAGCTTGAGTACTGCTCTTCATACTATTTCATTTTGTTTATTTATTTACTTAAAAGATGATTTATTTATTTATTATTATTATTATTTAATTTGACCAAAGAAAGACAGAGAGAAGAGAAAGAGAGAGTGAGAAAGCAAGCTGCTAGGTTCGGGACCTGAACTGTGGTTGGCTATGTGGGAGTCCAGCATCTTAATCACCACGCCATCTGCCAACCCTCATACACTATTTTAAAGTGAGTTGGGATTTACTGTGTACAAAAACTGTGGGAATAAGTAGATAGGACTAGCTCTGTTACCTTCTAGATTGGTTTAATTACTTATCTGAATCAATACTGATTCTTTAAAAAAATCTTATATTTGGATTCAGTGGTTCTTCGTGCTCTTATTTTCTATTAAAGTGGGATGGCCAGCACATGGTGTGGAGGATAGGGCAGCTGAATCCCACATGGCTGACCGTGTGGTTTGAGTCTGGACCCAACAGCTTGTAAAACATGCCAGGTGCATGTAGGTATATGCCCCAAATCTTAAGAACAGAACAGAGAAGAAGGGATTGCAGTGTGGCTATCCCCCATGGGAAGTAATTTTTCACTTTCCCTCTCTCTATGTCTCTCTCTGGCAAGCATATGCATCCTATGGCAAAACTAAACACACACACACATACACAAACGCATGCACACACACACACATGCACACACAACCCTCTCCCCCCCCCCCCCCCCAAAAAAAAAAAAACAAAGCAGAGTGCACATAAAGAAAGCATGACACCTTTTATGTCTGTGGGAAAGGCAAATGTACTCTGTCCACAGACACAAAGGGAGAATGTAGGGATGATTCAAAATGACAGCAGAAAATGACTTTCCTTCAAAACCTTTGAGCAGTTTTAAAATCTGGGTATTTGGGGACCAGAAGATAGCATGGTGGTTACATTGCTGGACTCCTACATGGTCAACCACAGTTCGAATCCTGGACCTAGTTGCTTGAAAACCACACTGGGCCCATGTACATGAATGCCCAAGATCCCAGGAGGAGAATGGAGGAAAAGGGATTTTGGCATGGCCATCCACCCTGGGGAGGGTGACTTTTCACTTTCTTTCTCATTGTGTCTGTCCATATCTCTCTTACAAGTGCACAGGCCCTAACACAAAAACAAACAAAACAAAACAAAACAAACTTAAAAAAGACAAACAAACTGCATATTTATTTAATTTTGACTCTCAACTTCCTTTGTGGCCACATATAGAATCAAGTGAGCTCTCAAAGACAGAACTCCCCAAATAAAAACATTATTATTTTAGGCTGTGTTTGGGAGGTATGATAAGAGTTTAACAAAATAGTACCTCCCTGAAAACATGAGAGATGACTTTCAGTTGGGGACTCCATCATCAGCTCCTTTTGTCAAAATAAATTGTTTATCTTCCAATTTCAGAGTCACCACGTCTGTCATAGCTGTTGAAAGACATTTCTTCTCAGGTAATCTGATCTGGTTTGACTAGTGGATAGTAACAGCCTAGAGTCTAAAGTCAAACAAGAACTCAGGCTTTAATGACAACTTCTCAGGATACTCAGGGATTGGAACCAGGGACAATCTCAATAGTCCTTTCATTAAAGAGGTACAATGACACATTTCATGGGTTCGAAATTTAGAGAAAAGAGGTACAGAATATCATTTTTTGTTTTGTTTTGTTACATAAATTAACCCATTTATTGTAGGCTATTGATATTCCAAATGTCTATGGAGCTTCTGCAGGTCTTTCAATTCCTTCAGTCTTCTGATGGCAGACTTTACCGAAGTGGTGGTGTAGGTCCAGGCACCACCGGCTACCGTTTTCATGCAGGAACCACGTATCTTCATCTTAGTTTTGCCACAGAAGGAGCAGGTGTACTTGGCGTGCTGGCTGATTTCAATTTTCTTCACCATTTTCCGGAGGGAGGCACCATAGCGGGTCCGGTATTTACCGATGTTGCTGACCTTCTTGGTGCGTTTAGCCATACCGCTGCCAACTAGGTCCAAGCCCAGAGAGCCAGAATATTTTTCTATAAGTCCAGATAAGCTACAATGATTTTCTTTTCATTTCTCACAAAATCTAGTCTGGGATTTCATAATCAACACATTTTTAATGAATCAAAATGGCACAAGATCGAATATTGAAAGAAATTTCTTTTACTAATTTATTCTCACAGCAGTTCTATAATTTTAGTTAGGTTGCTTTTTTAATCCAATACTTCCATTTAACTAAGTATTCATAGTGCAGAGTAGTGCTGTTGAATGCTTACTAAGAACCATGACAAGAAATAAGCAAATAAATAGAAGCATCTATTTTTATATGTATGGAACAGAACTTGCTGATGTCACCTGGAATGACTATTTATCCCTTAAAAACAAATCAAATAGGGGCCAGCAGGA